GTGCTGGCTAAGCTGCAATAGCCTTGCAGAGATCGCGGCACTGATCGACCACCGCACGCTTCCTGTCGATCATGTGTTTCGCATGGAACTCTTCGTTGGCCGTGAGGTTGGTTGTGTCCAAGTACAACCAACCGCGGTCAAAGAAGAACTTCAAATCATAAAGCTGCAATTCTTTACCGGCAACAAAATCCTCCGGGGTCAATTTCACATGTTCTCGAATGTACTCCAGCGTACCCGCCAGATTCCGGTGCGTGATCCGGGCCGTAATCTCAGCTAACCCGCGGAAGATGGGAGCCACATAATGGATCGTAGCCACCACTGCGGGCTGCACGCAGTCATTGCTGTTTCCGGTGGGATTCAGTCGGTGCTTAACGACTTCAAAATCATCTTGAGTGAACCCCGAAGCATGCAATCCCATGGCATAATGTACCACCAGGGACTGGTTATCGAATTCGGCAATGGAGGGCAGTCGGTAACAGGCCGGATTCTCCCGCGCGTAGAACAAAAGATAAATGAACTTCGGCTCACGGCCGGGGCACTCCAGGGCCGCGAGGGCATCCGCCACCGAGTGGAATAACTCGTCGTACTTAACCATCCACTTATTACGGAATGGCCGCCAGGCGTAATTCGTGACCTGAAACCGATCGGCCAGTTCATTCACCACCCGCACCTTGAGTATGTCGGTCGCTGAACCACCGATTGGCAGTAAATAAGCGATTTGGCCCCGCTGAAACAGGTTCATTCCGACCCTCCCGTAGCCGACGCCAGCAGTTCGGCCATCACTTCTTCCGCCTTTTCCCGGTCGTCGAACACGTCTCGATACGGCCGAGAAGCCTTATTAAGCCAGTCACCTTCCATGTAGGCCAGGCTCACATGGTCGTGGGCCATGAACTCAATCTCGGCCTTAATCACATCGGGGAATCGCAGGAAGTAGACCGTATCGCCGGGTCGCAGATTGAGGCGAGTCATAGGCTCTCCACCACAACTCGGACGACTTGCAAGAGTTCCTCCAGCGTGACCGAATTCAAAGTACCGATTTCATAACGGCCATCGGTCTCCACTAGCATCACTTCATGTTGAAGCCGTCGAGAGCGATCAAAGAGCGTGACGACCAAGGCTCCGGGCAGTGTGGAAACATCCTCCACCTGCCAGTCGGTGGCTTGGGTGATGCGATAGATCAGGTCGGCGGCATTGGACTGCTCCAGCAACAGCAGAATTCGCATCTTCTGCCGGCGGGAGATGGTGTCACTAAACGAGACGAGCAAGGTGACAGTCCTCAAGGTCGAGTGTATGGACCGTTTGCAGACGGGTGCCGATCATCCAGGCCCCGGCCCAGTGGTAAAGCACGCCAGCGAGTTGCTTGGACTCTTCTGTATCGATGCGGGCGGCGTGGCCCTTCACCGTCAATTGATCCAGGAAGAAGTCCACATCCCCGATTGAATTCGGAGACTCCATCCCAAGATTGTCCAAATGGCCGGCCAGTCGTAAGGCGTCATGGATGTCCAACGCCTTGCGAATCGGGGTTACACCGCCTCCGAAGCCTAGCTGATAAACTTCCAGCACAATCCGTTTGACACCGTAATCCGGCGTGTACAAACGGACTTTCGGGTAGGGATGCTTGATCCCTACGCCAATTGCTTTGTTGATCGCAATCACAGTGAATCTCCAGGGTTGGTTGTCCCTTCTTCTACGTCCCGAAGGTTCCGCTTCTTCACGTATTCCTTGAATTTCTCAGCCTGCTTAGGATCACGAAACACATGGGTCGCCGGCATCCAGTACGACCGGTGATGGTCATACAACACGACCCTCCGATCGAGTTTGCCCACAAAACGACTCTCACGTACTTCCTCAAATCCTGGTGGGTCTGACTCGATCACCACATAGACGGTATCTCCACAGTGCCAATCATCGTTGAGGCGAAGCAGACGATTGAACAAGTCGTCCGCGATATCATTGACTCGATGGATCACCCAGTCAGAGCCGTTAAATGAGAACGTCACGGAAAACAGTTGTGGATTGGCATCGGTCGTCAACGCCTTAAACTGCATCCGCACGGCCGCCCAACTGATCTTCTTGACTTCGAATACCCGCTCGCAGAGGGCGGTTTCTTCGACGGCAGTAATCAGTCCCAGCAGCTTTGGCAGATTCGGTAGCTTGAGAAGCTCAATCATGCTGTACCACCCTGCCAACGCTCGCAGATTTCATCTAACAACATCTCGGCCTTATTGCTGGGTCGCGAGATCAACTTGTCCAGGCTGCCATAGTGATCCTCCAGGCATTCCAGCAGCAGTGTCTTGATCGCTTCCTGGTCGGGTGAATACCGCAGGGTGCTATTCTCATAGGCCCGCTCCAAGGCAGTTTCCTTTTCGGCCGCCCACTTGCGAATATCGTCTTCGGTGACTTCACCTCGGCGGATGGCCTTGAGGTGCTCCCGATGTCGGCGAAGGTCGAGCGTATGTTCGTTCAAGATCATCTCGGCTTCGTACAGCAACCGCACCACGTGATAGGCGAACTTCACGTCGAAACCGAACTCATCGTGGAGCTTGGCGCGCTTCCCTTCACGTTGATGGCTGCCCATTTTGTGCAATTGCGAGTAAGCATAGCCCTTGAACTTGTGCCAGCAGCCTTTGTGGAGGAACAGATCGCGATGTTCGCGAACTCGCTCCGAGACGCGCGTGCTATGGAGAACGCATTCCCGCGGGGTGTACAACGAATCCACCATGTTCGGATTGTTTTCCATGCACAATTGGAAGTAATGCACGATGTTGTAGATGGAGAAGTCATAGGATCGCTCGGGTCGAGACGGGTCCTGGATATGGTGGTCGTTGAAGACCTTGAACGTCTGTTTCTGCCGTCCAAAGCCCTCGATATGCCCGGCGACGTGTGGGAACACAACACCTACCGGAGGTAAGCAATAACCGATGATGTCGCAGTCCGAGTCGTCCGAAGAGACGCCATAGGCCACGCTACCGGTGATCGTTTCGTAGATCGTGTTGGAGCGGACAAAGGACGGTGGCGAGATCGCCGAGAGCTTTGTCAGGCGTTCGATTGTACTAGCCATTAGAACGGGGATACCCACGAGAAACGTGCAACGAATGTCCAAACTTTGCGACGTCCGGTGTCATTGGTCCCTTCCAGCAAACAGTGGGTGAGGTTCGGGCGATGGTCCAACGACGCATGCTCCAAGAGAACCCGGGCAGCCCCACTCACCGCTGACGAAAACGATTTGTAGTACCGCTGCTTGTAGGACACCGTATGCGACGGGTACTTATGCTGCGGTGTGACTCGGTATTGCTTGAACTGGTTCATAGCGTGCGGGCGTCCTCGTACACCTTCCACATGTGATTCAACCTCTCGGCCCGCTCTTTGAACTTGGCATCGCACTTGCAAGTCAGGTCGAAGTAGAACTTCACTTGCTCCGCTTCAGGGCCGCCGTAGTGATGCAGTAGTCCGGCGTAGATCGTCAAGGCATTCCTACGATCACGGCGGAGAACGATCAGGTACTTTGTGACCATCCCGGCAACCATCGCGAGGCCACCCAGCACCAGCCACAAGGCTTCCGGCATCAACAGTTCGTGCATCGCGTTCAATCCCATCCAGGCTCGCCGATATCTAAATCCGAGTAATAGGCCATTGGGTCAGGCTTCCCATAACGGAATATGAACCCCAACCACAGAAATCGGGCCACAAACCCAGTCCGATAGTGCTTGCTCCGCTGCTTCCAGATAGCCAACGGCCCTTCACATGAGAATTGGGGAGTCGTATACAGCGTAACGATCGTCTTACCGGGCCAAGACAGTTTCAGTTGGATGCTCATTAGGGTTTCAATTCCAGAATCTGTTTCCAAGTGGGGCCTTCACCTTCCACGCATTCGTGGATCAAGGCACGCCATGACACCTTGAGGTGTGGCGGTTGAATCGCCAGGGCGGCGGCTGATTGGATCGCACCATCTAACGCCGGAAAGAAGCGAACCGTGTTCAGTACACCTGTCTTACCGTAAACCGTCACTCGAAAACGGTCCTTACGCCCCATAAGATGGCTGCACAACTGCCACGAACCATCAGCAAGACGACTGTGGATGTCCACCGAGTAGTTTCCGTTATCCGAGAAACAAGTGAGTGCGGCTTGATCCGCATATCCACGAGTACGTCGCATCGTGCTGAAGCCGACACCATTCTCGTCATAGGCCGAAACGCAATAACACTCAATTGGCTCGGGTTCCTCCACCTTGTCTTCCAGGATTAGATATCCCTGGATGGCCGGATTCTTTAACAGGCATTCACTACAGACCGGGCGGCGGGTTGCGAACGTCGAGTCGGGAGGATAAATGAACCGACCATTGGAGTAGACCTCGGGCGCATTCTCGCACATCGTCAGGCAAACAGTGCATTGTCGTTGGCAACGCAGTTCCTGGATATCAATCTTCTCAGTCATTCCTCGTTCCAATACAAGTCAAAGTCAACGTCACGCAATTGGCACATCACGCGCAGCTTCTGCTTGATCGAATGCGCCAACTCGGGACTGTAAACCCCATGCCGGGAGCCTGACCCATGGACCGGGTAGGCCAGGTGGGCAAACTCCGCACAAGCCGTCACAATCTGGCGTAGTTCTTGTTTGGTAAAGGCGGCTTCGAGACACGTCGCACGAAGCGTGTGGCCCCAGAATTCAATCAGATAGGTGATCGTTCGATGGATAATCAGCAACGACACCGGGATAGCTATGATCACTAGGATTTTCAGGACTACCATGCGGCTCGTTTCGCCTCCCGTTCGCTGGGGAACAAATGTTTCTCGGTCGAGGCGAACGACGTCCCGTGTTCGTCTTTAAGTTGGTAGGATCGGTCAACTCGGACGACCGTAACGGGACGGATGCGGTTACCAAGACGGATGAAACAGGAATCCCCGACATCGAACGCCTTGAGTTTTCGTCGGTTCAACCAAAGCGTGAACCACATAAGTGGATTGGACGCGATAAAACCGACCGCGATACCTAGCAGAATTTCAGGCATGCTTAGGTCCCCAACACGCATAGAAGTCAGCCAGTCCACGTTGCTCGAACATCGTCTTCAGCTTCTTGAGTGTTGATTCCTTGATTTCATTGTGCTTATTCGGCGGATCGGTGGCGTAAGCAATCCGATCACCCACCAGGAAATCGTTCAGCAATAGCTTCAATTCCTCATCCGTGAACCGTGGCTCTTCGAGAGCTTCACTCCCAACCACCTCCACACCAATGACCGGTCGGTTGAACGGCTTCGGGTAGCCATGTTCAACGTGCAAGGTCGGCCCCATGTCCAACAACGTATGATCTCCGCACTGCTGGGACCGTTTCACCGTCCAGTAGCCGTGAATCATGCCGTCGTGGAACCAATAGCACCGAGTAATCCGCGGGTAGTTCCCGAGGATAGCCAGGTTCGGGCGAAATTCCTGGAGTTGTGCAACTACGAATTGGTTCATGCAGTTAGTCCCAACTGTTCGGCCGACCAGACCAGCAGCCGGCTTACAAGATCAAAACGTTCAGGTAGCGGCGGTCGCCACACGTACACGAATTCATAACGCTCCACGAACGACAGCCCGTCTGGCAGGTATTGCTCACCGAAAACGATCAAGTTGGCCTTGATCGCCACCTGATACCCGTCTTGAGAGACCACGTACCACGCATCCGTGGGTGGATTGATCAATTGATTGGCCAATTTGGCGGCGGCACCTGGTGTTAAGTACGCCCGCGGACCGCCCGCGAACCACATTTCCAGTTTGTTGTCGGCGAATTTGAGTTCGATCACAGGCGACAGCCTTTCTGGACCTTCCCGATAAGTTGGCTTCCCGCCCATTTCAACAAAACACCCGCAAGATCATCCGTGTCAGACTTTTCGAGTCGAATTACACACTCCATGTCTTTATCCTCAAGCTCTACTTGGCCCCTCTTGATACCATCCAGCCGGCTGAAACCTAAAGATGTGCGACCGGATGAACCCCAGCGACAAGAAAGGCAATACGTGGTTAGGTCACGGAAAAACGTGCATCCCACCCAGGAATCTTTTAGATTCAGAAGATTGCTTGCGAAAGCAACCGCATCACTTGAACTTAAAAAGGCATGAACGTAAGGGTCACGGTTGACTTTCGGATGGTGCGCACAGACTGCCAGGTACTGGTAGCCGAATTTACCGGTTACTGAATAAACCCAGACCTTTCCGCCTATAGTCACATTGACATTCATCGCGAGTCCCATGCCTCTTGTGATGTAGAATGCAGGTAACTGGAACAAATGGTCTCGAACACGGGGCCACCGAGGATCGAGTATTTGACAAGGTGCAGCGGATGCGAACTGACGATCTGACCGACCTCAACACGAGCATTGGAGCCCTTACCACGGACAAAACAGACCTTTTGGCCCCGTTGAAAGCCCGGATGGACAACCTTTTTGGGTGGAAACACCCAATACCGCAGAATGAACCCCAATAGAAACAATGGGTTCAAGACATTGGCGATGGCAACAAGTAAATCAACCATCTTGGCTCCAAAACGTGTCGAAATTGATTCCGCGATGCGTGCATTCAGCACGCAACTTGTCTTCGATCGAGGACCGACAGAGTGATTTCCGGCTGTAATCGTGCTTGCCGTCGTCATTGAGCAAGAAATCGATGCCGAAATCCATCGAACAGGCGCGAATCACCTGTTTCAATTCCTGGTCATCGAGCCGTCGCAGCTTCAACTGCTGAACTTGGTATTCGAGCGAACAGGTATAGATGCACCACACCAAGACCAACATGGACAAGAGGCCGTACACTACCACTGGAACTTCCCCATGAAGTTAGGCATACCTCGAAGTGCGCAGTTTCGTTGCAGTTTGCTGAGAATGCCTAGGTACAGTTCGTGATCATCACCGCCATGGGGAACACCGTCTGTGTCAACATGGACGGGAAGATTGCAACGTTGGGCGTGTAGTGACCGGATGATTCGTCGCAGTTCCGCATCCGAGAACGACGGTGCGAGGAAAGGGTCATCATGGTCGCTGAGAGACTCCGGAACCCAAATGTAGTCGGGTTCTTGGCTCCAACGGACCGGGTATCCTATAGGCTTACGGAAATCATAAAGGTCAAGTTGGATTCGCTTGGAGCACTCAATGACCTCCAATTTCTTGATGCGGTAGTAACCCGTGATCAAACCTGGGTACCAGACATAGACCCGAGTCTTGAGCGTGATGTCCTCCGTTGAGTCAAGCCTGAGTTGGGGACCGGTCGTAATATCGCGGCCGGGGATCAGTAGGTGCTTCATTTCCAGCTAAATCCTCCGACGCAATCCACTCGGTTACGGTCATGTGCTTCATTGAGTATTTTCTGCAAGATCGAGTCACGCTGCCGTTCAGAATGGCCATAGGGCTGGCCTTTACGATCGACCACAGCGAGTAGACGGTCAGGGTTCATCCCCAATGCACGCACAACCGTGGCAAACTCACCATCAGTCAGGTCACCAAGCCCCAGCTTCACGAATGGATCATCGCAGTCCTCAGATGTGTCGGGAGCGGGTACCCACCCCAATCCACGTTGGTCACGAAACACAAAAGACTCGTCCCGCTGAACAGGGTACCCAGGTGGCACTCGTATCGTCTTGTCCAGGACTAGGCACTTCCCTGTCTTGTCAATTCGCACATGGTCAGTCGGAAAATAACCCGTGATCTTGCCGTCTTCGTAGACATAGCAGCGTGTATCAAAACCGATTTCAGTGTATCCGGGAGGGAGATCAACGCATCCTGGTGGAAAACTGACTCGATACTTGATCCGTTGCAGTCTTGCATGAGTTGTCACGATATGTCTCATCGAACTTGATTCCATATTCGAGGCATACCGGCGTTGGCGCAGAGAATCTTCAGCTTCCGCTCGATGGATTCTGCTTGAGAATGACTGTGCCCTCCGACATAGACACCATCGTGCGGAATCACTTGGCCTAGATCGCTCCGTCTCAGGTGAAAAACGATCGACCGAAGCTCTTCTGGTGTGAACTCAACCTCGTTGCAGAAAGGATCGTCCGATCCTTCGGGCGGCGTCGGAGCCTTACGCCACACATACCCAGGGTCTGGCGCAGGTAGTTTTGGGAACACCAATTCGATGGGCATCTTGACTGGATAACCCTCTGGTACGACTAGATCGCAGTGAAAAGTAAGGAATTTCGTCTGCTCGTAGGTCGTCATCTTGAGTACATTGTGGTACCCGATAACTTCACCTTCGCCGTAGACGTAGCAACGGGTATTCATCCCAACGTTCGATGTCCGCTGGAACTTCAATTCCCGGTTCTTCAGATTGAAGTAGAATTGCGTTGTTACGATGTTCATTGATTCCTCAACTGGAGTTCGATCATCCGGTAGACCATGCAGGCCGTGTAAATCTGAGCCGATTAGGGTGTATTCATCGCAGCCTTGCATGAGTTGTCACGATATGTCTCATCAGGCCAACTCCCAGAAATCATGCATCCCGGCATTCGCACACAATGACTTCAGCTTTCGCCGGATCGACTTCTCTTGTGAACTTTTCCTTCCAGCTCCGCTAGGCATACCATCGGGCAGGATATCCAGACCTAAATCACACACCTTCAAGTAATAAACCATCACTCGAAGTTCAGCTTCGGTGAACTCAACCGGACGATCGATGAAGGGATCATCCAAGCCATCCAGTGGCTCGGGGGCCTTCTTCCACATGTTGGAAATGTGCTTCGGTTGGTTAGGAAACACCGTCTCGTGCGAAACCTTCACCGGGTAGAAAGGCGGCACGATCAATTCCCGGCGGAATTCGACCAGCTTCACTTGGTCGTAATACGTGACGCTCTTCACCTTGTGGTACCCAACGACCTGGCCAAACTCATGCACATAACAGCGGGCGGTGAGTCCCACGCCCGTGTTGTCATTGAACTTCAGTTTGTACCCGTGGTATTCCAGGCAGTATTTGGTAGCAACGATGTTCATTTCCGAAGCTCCAGGAATCGGTAGACCAGGCAGGCACCATAAATGGCACCAGCAGCCGCGGCCGAGTCGTCTTGACCGAGGGTATGAATCAGATTACGGAACGCGGGATCGTCCAAACCGGTCTCCCGGATCATCTGATCACTTGACTCGGTCCATCCGTCGATGGCCTGACCCATCCGATCGCAGTCTTCGTCGGACATCTCGGGACATTCGCAGTTCCGAGCGGCTCGTAGTATTTCGCTACTCTTCATCATCTTCCTCATCGAGGTACATTTGCCAGCCATCTGCATCGGAGACCCGGTACTCCAGGTATTCCCGATACTCGTGTGGTTCGAGGTGCTTCACAGCGTCCGCTTCGAAGTTACGAACCTTGCTCAGCGTTTCCTTGACTTTGCTCACGTTCCTTCTCCAATTGCAGTTCGATCATGCGATAGACGTGACAGGCGGCAAGGATGCTCGCCGCGCAAACCTCGCAATCGACTTCAGTGCCAGCCATAACCGCCAAATAGTCACGGAAGTGCGGATCATCCTTACCGGTGCGAAACACGAAGCTGAATGTGTCTTCTGAGAACTCGGCGTATGCCTGCTTCGCCAATTCGTAATCGATCAATGGGATAACTGGCGTATCAGTCGGTGGCGTTTCATCCGATGGCCTCTTACACCTCGCTGCGATCAGGGCAGCACGATTCACTTGATCTTGATTCATTGCTTCTCCAACATCCGGTAAACGAAGCAGCCGGCTGCGGCTGCCGCAGCGGCGGCATCGGTGCCGTAGTATTCTTGGGTTTGCTTGACCAGAAATCCGAGTGATTCGGCCAAGTCGAAATCGGCATCGATCGTTTGCCGCACGAACTCCAGATTGTCGGCGTGCAATTCATTCAGAGCCAACTCAGCGACGATCGGTGAAATCTTCCCTGTCCTGACCCGCACCGCACCTTGGCCGAACAGCTTGACGATGTCGTGGTTGACTTTCTTCTGCTCTCTTGTTTTCACTTTTTCGCGGCGGCAACGTTCGGCGGCCTCGCGATTAGTGAACGTATACTCAGGATCAGCGAAAAGGGCGTGATCGAATTGTCCTTGGTCGTCATACACCGCGCACAGCAGGCCATCAGCATGGTGCCACTCGAAGATCGCTTCCACGACCATCGTTTCCAATGCCAAAAAGACCTTCGTCTTACGCTCCAGAGGCATGTTGAATCTCCATAGCTCGATACAAGAGGCAGAGTGACCACGTCTGGTAGTTGGATACTCCGTAGCCATCCTTCAGACTATGCCCTACAAGGATTTGTAGTAGTTTGCGAAACCCTTCATCGTTCTTCCCAACTCCCGCGATTCGCTGATAAATATCAGGACGGTTGATATCCAACTCGCGAATCGCCTGAGAGATCGCTTCCTTACTGAGTTGGGGTCCCTCCGCACTGAGACAAGGCACCAGTGCAGCAGTGCTAATCTCAGGCATATTCATTCTCCATGACTCGGTACAAGAGGCAGAGGTGATAGGCCAAACCCTTGTCCGCATTCCGGAGAGCATCCGCAAGAAACAGCCGGAAGACGATGTCATCCTTCCCCGTCTCTTCAACGAGTTGCTCGGGACTGTTCTCCCAGTTTCGCTTAGCTTTGTCTTCCGAAGCCCGATCGATCCTCAATGGCTTCGGGTTTTCTTTGGCCTCCATCTGCTGTGCGCGGTACATGACGCAAAGATCAATCGCCACACCCTTGGCAATCGCGTGGTGGCCGTTCGCAACCGCGGATTCAACGTAAGTTCGCAGCATCTTCCGGAAGCCAGAATCATGGCGTCCGGTTTGCGACACGAACCACTCTCGGTCTTCATTGAATTCACGTCGCGCGGCTTCCGTATACTTCGAGTCGATTACGACATCGTTGGAATAATTCGTGGCTGGCTCCAGGGCTGCTTCGATGATGCTCATTTGGTCGTCCTCTGAATCTCCAAAGCCCGATACAGGATGCACAGGTCGAAGGCTGTGGTCTCGGCTTGTTGCCTACCCACGGCCAGAGACTCTTCCACTCGATTCTTCAAGATCGTCCGAAAACCAGGATCATGCCGGCCTGTCTTGTAAAAGAACTCTGCTTCATCCCCATCTATGAATTCTGTGCAAGCCTGATCAATAGAACTGCTGAAAATGACGAATCCACCTTCCTCATCGGCTGGCTCCAGGGCTGCTTCGATCGTGTTCATTTGGTTCTCTGAATCTCCATGGCGCGGTACAGGATGCACAGGTCATAGGCTACGACCGCGGCTTCACCGTCATCCACCTTCCGAGATTGTTCGACGCAGATTCCTAGGATGGTCCGGAAGCCAGGATCGTGGCGGCCGGTCTCCGCGAAGAACTGGGTCGCACCCATGGCGTGATACTCGCGTCGAGCTTCCTCGATCGATTCGGGCTCGATCGAGAACTCGCCGGTGGGTTCCTCGGCTGGTTTCAAGGCTGCTTCGAACAGGGTCATCTCATCCTCTCGGGAATGTTCCAGGGTCTTTCGGCACCGTCACATCGTGCAGCCGGCCTGAGATGTCAGTCGCTCGGGCTGGTCCGTCGATCAATCGAATGAGCCAGTACGCCAACTCACTCAACGGGTGTCCCACCAAATTGTGGACCGGCCAGTTCTTCCACAGCCTCGACATAGGTTCCTCAGGTAATTGACGCGGCAGCCGGATTCCGGAACCGCGGGTGGAATTGAGGCGAGTCCCACGGTTCCGGCCGGTTGCGATGAGTGCCGGGCATCGATTTGACCCCGGCGGTGAGTCATTACAACGAACGGGGCAGGGTGCTTCTTCCAAAATTCTGGAATTTCGCTTTTAAGGCCCCTAGCAGCCTCTGTAGTAAAACCCGGGTGTTGGGAGTCATTGACCGGGGTCAAAGCTGCTGCGATGAAGCCTCCGTTGCGCACACGCTGTAATAAATCCTGGGTGGTATTTCTTACAGCCTGAGTGGCGGAAGCGAGCGCAAGGCGTGGTTGGGCTGGAGCCCCAGCTTCCCCGGGTCCTTGCCGCGTCAGCCGGTAGGCTCCAACGGCCGGGAATTTTCTAGGGCTCGATTCGCGAATTCAGGTACCTTTTCGCGAAGGGCTCCACGATCAAGGATTACCGCGGATGGCATCGAGATTGTTGGGCCTTGGCCTCGCCTGGCCCTTGCCGCGTCAACCTTCCTCTCGAACATCCTGGCGGCAAAGAGAACAGTACCGGGTTCCCCACCACCAGGGGGCTCGTCATATCCGGCAGATTTGACCCCACCCCTTCGACCCACACTTCCGGAACAACTCGCTCGATCACAGCCACCGCGGGCCGGCACAATCCTCACCACCCCAACAATCCACACGCTCGGATCGGACCACCCGGCGGTTAGCCCGCACAATCCGCAACACCAGGCCGATCGCTACCATCCGAGGCCGGACAATCGGCACAACCCCACCCACTGGCTAGCATTTCACTTGCTTCGACGTTCGTCGAAGCTATCGAAATGGCATCGCGGATGATCTGATTATGCCTATTGCGCGGGTTGGGGTGTGGATTGTTGAGCTCGATCGCCAGGTCATGCGGATTTTACTGAAGGTGCCGGCAATACGGGTGGTACTGACCGCATGTTCACTGTTTGGGCACCAGTGTACGTCCGTACACTGATACCGCCACCGCTCAAAGTTTTGTAACCCTACGCGAAACAGTCGAGACTATGGTACTGTTTTTCACGTCGTAAGTGCATGCCAGACAATACTTTAGGAAAATAGTCGTTACCCACCCGTTACCGTTTTGCTACTTTCTAGGTATTTTTGAACTTCATAACCCGTTCACCCATAGGGATTTAGGAAAACGTGGTACTAAAACAGGGGTAAAATCCCTACTATCGCCCTAGGAAAAAAGTTTAATACAGGGAGTAAAGTAGGCGCTATAGGGGGAAATAGGGAAAGCGGTATCAGTACCATATCCGTACTGTCGCCCCAACAATAAACACTCAATACACTTACGTCGAGCCCCTCGCGCCCGATGGTACACTCCAGTGTATCAAAACCCTTCCCCAGAGGGAGAAATGCCGCGACGTTCCCACCTCTAATAGGCGGGACCCTAACCCGCTAACGTCGCTATATCCTCCCACCCGACATAACCGCTACCGGTGAGGGGTTCCGTATTTCATTTGCATTGTCGCCCCTTGTAAGGTAGTGTTGAATGTATCCACCAACACCGCGACGGAGACTATCACCATGGGCGCACACTGGCAAAACATCGCCTACCGTTCCGAGTTCAAATACCATCTATTCCGCGCGGCAACCCATAGGGTTATTTGCAGCGCAGACGATTGCCCTAACAATGCAACACACGAACACCGCACCCCTAAAGGCCACGCGCACTATTGCGACGAACATCACCTAGCATCGCTGCCCGAAATAGATCGGCTACTAGCTCGGGATGGTTGGGCCATTGAATCCGAACTAATCGCGGATGATTTCGACGGGCGCGACGGGGCGAACCGCTGGCGCGTTACTATTTCCCGCGCTGGCCGATCGTATCAAACTGAATTCACCCAAGGCGCTGGCTGTCGCCACTATAAGCAATCGGGTAAACCTATCGGAATGCAACCCCGAACCGGAAAGGTTGGATACTTTCGGGACCTTGTAAGAATTACCGCACCCGATGCGCCTACGCTTGCCGACGTCCTACATTGTGTCGTGAGCGAATGCGACGTAGTGAATTATGCGACGTTCGAAGATTGGGCGGAATGCTTCGGCTACGATACCGATTCGCGCAAGGCCGAAGCAATCTATCGGGGTTGTCTCGCGACGTATACCCAATTGCGACAGATTGCAGATATCGAGACACTAGAAAAGCAATTTGCGGATTTCTAACATTTCACTTGCTTTGTCGCCCCATGTAAGGTAGTGTTTAAGTGAAAGGGGTTTGGCAATGGTTAAATGGCAAAACAGCGTAGGCGAGTTTATCAAGCAAACTGGCACGATGGCCATTGTCGAACGTATTGACGGGGTGCGCTTGCGAATCCCGTTGTCCCTAATCCGACACGCTACCGAGCAAGATATCCTGAGGGCGCTACGATGCAAGTAGCTTCTACCGATCTTGTGGTCCGCCCAACACGCAAACAAGGCGCTACGCGCTATATGGTCCGCCACAACGGCCGATTGTTGCGTGTGTATTATCTAGGCTTCTACTATGTGAACACCAAAGCGGGAATTCTTGAAATCTCATTTCACTAGCTTTGACATTCCTACAATGTTGGCCTATGCTTTTAATGTTCAGGCAAGCAAAGGGGAAACAAAATGAGCGCTTTCGAGATTCTAAACGCAATCCGTGAGGGTCGCGACCCTTGGCTAGAAGCATACAAGGCGGAATTAGAGGCGGTTTTGGATGCGGCACAAGAAAGGCGGGAAAATGAACGCAATTGAGACATACGCGCAGGCGATGATTGCCCACGAATACGATTACCTTCGCGAGCGCGACCCCAAACGATTCGCGAACATTCCACCCGAGACTCTAGCAGAATTCGAACAACGCACCCGGGACGATGCAACCGAACTAGCGGAACATATCCGCACACGTTCTCCGGAGTTTGTCCGTCGGGTAATGCAAGGAATGCTTTACCCCAACAACAAACACTCACGGCAGCTATACGAATCGATTACAGGGGAAACACTGCCGAGATCGGTAAAGGATACCGAGGCGCTTGTCTGGAACTGGCCCGAGGTGAAAGCGTACCGCGAGCAACGCGCGGCCGAACGGGACGCGAAAGAAAAGCAACGCGCGGCCGAAGAACAACAACGGCAAGCAAAGTACATCGCGGAACTATCGGAAGCGGTCCGCAACGATGAACCCATTAGCGGCGAATCGCTAGTAGACCTTGCCAAGCACCTTGGGCTAAGCATCCACCCCCGCACGGTAGGGACGCTACGTAATCGGGTTGGGTCGCTCAATTCCAGTAGCGGCCGCGCGTTTAGCACCCGTTCCGGTACGTTCAATTTACCGACAACCGTTTTCCAATTGTACCGGGATTGTCGCGCCCAATTATCCGAGACTCACGAGGCCACGAAATGAACATCGGCGACAAAGTAGCTTGGCAATTACTCGACGGCGCGACCATGACCGGAACGATTACGGGGAAGGGTTATTCCGATTATTACGTCGAGCGTGTCGATGGCTCGCAATGCTCAATCAACGCTAGCAAGTTGCGCGC